TAACAAACATGCCATATTGGCCCAGTTTATTTCTCTTATCATTGTTGTGAGGAGACCATAAATAGCAGTTGTATTTTCTGTTGTACAGTTCATTTGCTGTCATGGAGTTCTTGTTATGGATAAAAAGTGTCTTTTTTTTTCGCTATTCGCTGACAGCTGCCAACATCTGCGAGCAAATATAATTCTATAAAGTGGTTCTATATAGTGCGTAACTGTTCATATAGAGCGTTATTACATTTATTGCTAATGCAATTGTATGTCACACTGACTTCTGAGGAAATTTTAAATGGCACTCGTCATCAGAAAGGTTGCCTACCCCTGGTCTAATGCAATGAGGAGAAAAGGCTGAGTATATTATTAGCATGAGGCATTCAGCCTCTCATTTTCCAGGTGTCGCCGAGTCCCAGGATCCTTTTCTGTCAGCTGTGTGTCAGTTCTAAGTAAAGGAAGCAGGATTTAAGTTACGAGTCATCTTCCATCCTCTAAGAGGCTTCTGAGTGAAAAGCACATGTCCATAATTCACCAATAGAGTGTACTTTTTATCGTGTGCTGCCTTCTCATGTTTGAAATTGTTTAAAAAATATGTTTTAACAGCACGCATCATTTGTTCAGGGAACACTGGATAGATCGTTGTGTCGCTGCTCATTATACGCCTCTACTTGAATGCACATGAGCTACAACTGCAAGTATTTATAAAGATAATTGGAAGTGGCAAAATGAAAAATAGCTGTAATAATCATCCTGACATAATTCAGAGTTTGTCTGCTCAGATTTGGACTCATTCATCATTCCTGCTGAATTTGATGGCTACAGGTATGTAAGAAATTACACAGAAAGTATACTGCATTTCACAGACTGTCCAAGTCTTTCCACTCAGCAGCCACAGGGCCAACACACGTGTGGGCAGTTATTTTTAATCCCCTATCTAAATGAATATGGACAGAGCCATAACTTCACATTCTTCTTTTCCTGGCCACCGGGACAAAACCCGGATCACTTCCCAATCCCGATTTGAATCTTACTTTGGCCAAAGTCAGCAAGACTTTTTTTTCACTATTTATGCTTTTATACAACTTTGCACTCACACAATCAGTCTGTCCAGTCCTTTCAAGACCAACTACATTTGGCTGCAAGCAGATTTCTGTACCGTCTGCAGGACAGACTGCTGGTGACCACTGCTCTACAGCTGGGAGCGCTCTGACACTGCTGTTACTGTGCGGCACGCTGGCTGTACAGTAGCTGACAGGGAAAACTGCAGAGGTGATGAGGTCAGCTGAAAAGACCATAGGATGTCCTTTAACCTCTTTGGATGAGACTCAAAGCTCTTGATGTCCCTCCAGAGCAAAGAGAATCATCCTGAGCACCACTTGTTCAGCCAACTGCCCTCTGGAAGGAGGAACATTAAAAGCAGAACAACATTAGGAAAGAGCTCCTTTCCATGGGCGGTAAAGACTTTAAATACACTTAAACTTAACGCTGCCAACACTGAGCTTACATCTCAGGTGTAAAAGCTGGTTTGTGAGTGATTGTAGTAACATGTTTCCTCCTTCCTCTTTTCATGTCTGTTTTCATCTTGTCTTTATGCACCTTCAAATGTAGTGCTCTGAAATTTCATTGTTTACTATCTGTACAATGACAATAAAGATTAATCTTATCTACATACATGTAAGAAAAATGGAAGTAGGCCCTGAGTTCTGTTAATGTTTCCTCATGAGCTAATCGACTCTGTCACTCACATTCACAGTGGGTAAAAAGTGACGCTGATTTTGTAAATTTTGGTGGTTTAAGGATTAGCCAGGGGTTGGCTAAGAACGAGCCGATGAGCGTGCAGCCAGGCAGATCAACTCCTTCATCACATCACATCGTGTTTCAAAACAACAAGATGGTGAAAACACCGGATAACAAGACTTCACAAACCAGTGAGCGATGGCATAGCAGCTTTGTCCTTCCACCTGTTACACTGTCCATGGACACCTCACAGCTAAAACTGTGGCGGAGATGTGAGTTGGTATAAAGCTCAGTCAAACTTACTGCATTTACACATCAGCATGAGGTAGATGAAAGAAAAAACGATTCAAGGTCATGTATAAGATGCATACAAGCTGACGTGCCCCGCTCCGTTCACTGAAGCCACCTCCTGGTTAAATGGCCAAACAAGCTGATCCTTTGAGGGGGTCAACTTTAGGGAAATGAGGACCGCCCCTCTATGGCACAGTATTGCCCTTAACAAACCACATTTAATGCTTATAACAGGGTCCCTTAACTCCTTAACAGCTAGTGTATGATACTTGAATCATACAGTTTTTGAGACTTCTACATCATCAGTCTGTTGTTGTCTGTGTTGATATAGCAACAAACCCAAGCTCTAAACCCAAGTAGGGTAAAATATTTGTTTTCTCAAAAAAACAAACAAAAATGAAATTATGCCAGAGATGACAAAAACGCTGTATTTTCTTATATACATTCTTTTTAAACATGCGTCAGTTTGAGGTAGAGAAAAGACTAATGCTGAACTCAGACAAGTGATTCCAAGCATAGTTATAGCTTTAGCTGGCAGGTGTGCATGTCTGTGACGTCATGCATTTCTGCAGCTGCTGTTTTTACACTTGCAGGAAAATAGAGCCCATTGTCTGTTCGATGAAGCTTGTAGCTATTTAAAGAAAACATCTACTGTATGATCAAATTGAGAGAACATGTCTGCTAGAACAAAGATTCATCAGTGCTCAGTTTGCTTTGAGATTGTGGGGTTTTTTTATCCCTCGTTAGCTATCATGCTGCTCATGCTGTATTTTTACCTCACCATCCAATCCGTAACGTCTATTTTTGCGTTACTGTGCGAGTCTAGCTTGGATGTGGCACTCATGTGATATACTGTACAATCAAGGTGATGGCTGGAAAAGATGCTGAAATTTCCATAACGTCAGACGACCGCTGTTAAACATGCTACAGCGTTTTTCCAAGCTAACCTCCAGTGGCTGTGATGCAATAGAGGGCACTGTGGTGTTGCCCTCCCTGAGGAAAAAACTTGTTTTATTTTTTACTTAATTATTTTAGTCCTTTTTTAAACTAGGTGCTCAAAAGCTTTTCACCTCCTGTCATTTGGAAATGTCTGAAGGTAATAAGCCACTGACAGATAAAGGGTCTGGAGTAGCAGCAGTGTTGCCAACTTGTAGCACTTATCAGCCAGCCTGCTTACGCTCCAACAAATGATGTTCGTAAGTAAACAGTCTGCCATCAACAGCTTTTGCTGAAAGTGCCGGCTGTACTGTGATGTGTGGGGCTGTGACTCTGGCTCAGTGTTCATTTTTCACCGTAACCTGTGTGCGCTGTTAAAGGCTCTGTGTGTAGAAGTTTAAAAGTCAGCATTTTGGTGATCGTTGGCAGCAAAAACAGTATAGCAAAGACAACAGTTAACATTTCTTCACAATTTACAGTACTGTATAAAAAGTTCACGTTAGTTCTTCTTCTTATGAATGTCCGGGACATTTTTTCCTCTTCTTGTCTGCAGAGTGACACTTTTGGTTTGTCTTTGCATCCCTCTTCAGAGTTTGAATAACACAGGAGTAAACGGTCTGATGTCTGCTACAGCGTTTCCTCCTCATCATCAGCCGTTCCGCTCATATTTAGAACAGGCAGATTTTCCCTCAGTGAGATATCATCCACCCGCTTGGGACCGCTGTCCTCAGGCTCCTCGGGTATGGATGGATCCGAGTTACTGATTACGTATCCTGGCAGGGTGGCACGCATGCTGATCGCGGTTGGACCTGTGCTCCGGTAAACGCGGCTGGAAACGAGCGTGGTGGAGCGTGTGGACGGCCCAGCACCAGCCAGGTGGGACTGGCTGCTGGTGCTATTGTTGTTCAGACCTACGACCACAGATCCATAACGGTAGCGGCCGCACACAACTGGACCCTCCCACTCAAAGGAAAGATTCCACCGTGTCCATGTTTTCTTTATCTCTGTCTGGACCTGTGGGGGTGTGGGGAAAAAAGACAGTAAATACACAAAGCTGAGTTGTTTTTTGCAAAGATCAGAGTGCAGAAGAAATATTTTGAGGTGCAGAATACTTTTCTAACCAGTGGTTCCTTGTTCCTGTTTCATTTTGTTTAAAATATCAGAGCAGCCAGACTGCATGCACATCCCCGCTTCAGATCTTATTGTTGCTTACATCCCTGTGTGGAAATTACATATTTTACCACAGTTTTCTGCAAGTAGTCCTGCAAAGACATGCTCTTTAGTTTAACTGGTGATTGCAAATAAGGTGCAGGTGTGAGTGTGAATGTGGCAAGCTGCCTCTCTGTGACCGTCAAGCAAACTGTCGAGGAGGCAAGAGGCATCTCGCTCAGCGCCAGCTGGGATAATCTGTGCAACCCTAACCTGAACAAGCAGCTAATTTAATCATTTAATTGTGTCACTTCCTCCTATATACACCATTCGCAAACACTGAAACCGCCTTTTCCCACTCATGAAGGTATTTTGAAAGGATTGATGTCCAGTAAAACTGTGTGACCCTCGCACAGGTAGCACAGGGACACACTTTGTAAAGAAAGCAAAGCCTGAAAAGACAACAGTATTTTTATCTCTGATAAGGAAGTTGTTTTTGCGAGCACTGGCAGACATGTTTTCTGTCTGTAATGATAACATTTGAACAAATTCTGATAAAACTTTGTGAGGGTGTAGACACGTGTGGTGTGTATTGTCAACATATAAAAAGCACTGTAAGAAGTTTTAAAATGTCGTGCCATATTTGACCCTTGACCTTTCCTTCAAGGCCAATAGACCATCTAAAGATCAAAGTGATATCAGTATACAGGGAATGATATATGTTGATTCTAAATATGACAATATTTCATCATGACATTTATGTGCATGCAGCAATGAGCTCTAAGCCTTTGAATACATGAACAATGCTCCTGAATAAGGTTTAATGAATGCTACACATGCACTTTAGCCATGTCAATGAAAATAATAAGAATTGTGCATCAATTACATACAAAACAAAACTGACTCGCTTTGTTTTTGGAGGGGTTTGCCCTATAACAAACAAAACAACTTCTCCACTCCTAATTACGAGGAAAATAAACTTCTTCCTTGATGCATTCCTAATCGCCATGTCTAATAAGTTGTAGTACGAATGCTATGCACCAAATACAGAAGTGATGAAACAGGCGAGTGTCTGCACCCGGGCATGGCTGAGAATTGTAGTGGAAATGAAGCCCGAGCACATGTATAAAATTTCATGATGACTTAAAACTTCAAAAAGAGGACCCGGCGTACACGTGAGTTTATAAATCTGATGACCAGAGCGTGTATGCAGATCTCTGCCTTCCTACATGTGAATTTACTGTTTTATGGTATCAAACATTTGAGATTGTTTGCTGGACACGGCAGCCTACACTTTCCTATATGCAAGTGGATGAAAAAGATTCAACTGTGCACGCAGCGCGTGGGCTGAATGACTAAAACAGAGCATTAGGAGCAGCTTAAAGCTCCACGGAGCAGCAGAGTAGGGTGTTAATTCCAAGTGTTGGCTGAGACCCTTTTACCTTACATGAGTCATTTGGCGCAGCGTTAATAACAAAATAACAAATTGCTTTATGGCGCTTTTATTCAACAGAATACAAAAACCTTCAGTTTAATTTGGCGTTGTTTGGTTTTCGGTGACTCTGAAAGGCTCCGGAGAATAAAAAGGAGAGCTCCGCAGGATAATGAGGATCACGAAGGAAAAGTGAACGACAGCATAAAAAAAGAGAGAAGTTTTGTGTAAAGATCAGAGTGTCAGAAATGGAAACTTTAATTCAGCGCTCAGCACTCTCCGTGCAGAATGAGATAATAAAGAGTCAGATAATATGGCAGCACAGATGAAGGGAGAAAAACACGCTTCATCAGCCTGACCACAGATTACATGTACCACCGGAGTAATTAAACCCTTTGTAGGAGATATCAGCAGCTGCATCAGCGTGGCTGGAATTGTTTTCATGTTGTCAGTCTGTTTGCGTGTCTCTCAGTGTGTCATCACGGCAAAAAGTGATCCCAACACCAGCTGTGGGAGGAACTACAACAAAAGCAGCTTTGAGGACTTAGACAGGCGTACAAAAACCTGACACTCTGTGTGTGGACACAACAGTGTGTTGTGAAAGACGCAGACACACAACTCTGCAGCTACGTTGTTGTGATCGAAATAAAAACTTCAAGTCAGACCCATTAGTACTGAGTTCCCATGTAATTATACAATGACGTAGTAAAAACTGAGTATATCTGAAGCATCAACAACATGTTGACAGGCACAGCAGCCATGCTCTCTAGTTATACTGTCAAAGCTCTTCTATCAAGTGTGAATAAATCACTGCCTACTCACCTCTCCATTGCAGTAGCAATAGATAATTGACACAAAGAAGCCCTGAAAAGAAAAATTGAAATACAAGTTATGAACTGTTTCAGACATTTAGTGCGATCATCACATTCTTTACCACTTTGATCTACACGCAATACAAAGAATGGCTATTAAGATGATAGTGATGCTGCAGGTAACCAGTTAATATCACTTTGCTTTAAATACATTAAAAAAAATTAAAGTTTTCCACATAATTTTGTGGGATACCTAAAGTGTAAATTGTTTAATTTAATGAAATTGTCACGATAGTGACTGCGACCCAGTGTTTTGCATGTTTTAGTTTTATTCTTTGATTATTGTTATTTTCTCAGTGTTTCCTGGTTTATTTTGAAAGAGTGTTGTGTGTCACTGTGTTTAGTTTGACTTCCCCTGTGACGTCATTGTGCTAATTCTAGTCAGCTGTTTCCTGATCACCTCCTGTGTGTATTTAAGTCCCCTGTCTTCCGTTGTTCATTCTCAGGTCGTCTGTTTTCCTTCTACGTCGCATCGTAGTCGTTTCATTCTACAGTCTTGTCACAGTTTTTTAGTTTTTCCCAGTTTAGGTTTCTGTTTAGTTGTCGCTCCTACATGTTTACCAGCCTTAATAAAGGCTCGCTTTTGGTTTAAAAATGCAGTCCCTCGCTCCAGCGTCTGCTTTTGGGTGCATTAATAAACGTCCCTGGCATACTCCGCCATGACAGGAATCTGGTCACATTAAATGTACTTGATTGGGATAGATCCAGTTTACACCAAGCACATTTTCCTCAACGATTAAACACTTGAATAAACAGACATTTGATTTTATATATTTCAGCTCAAAATTATGGCTTCAATTTTATCGAAGATGTAGAAGATTTTTCTTATTGTAGTGTCTAATTAAAATAAAGAAAGTGCGTCTCTGGCTCCTTCTGTTCTTGTGTTCACTGAACCAGAAAGTTTTTAACACAGTTATGAATTATGAAGGTGTCTGCAGACCATCTGTGTTTGCATGCTCATGTGTGTGTTTGTGTGCACGTTGCGATGCACAACTAGTGAGAGACATCTTGGTAGTAAATCTCTGAAAAGCCAAAACAAACCAAAGTTCTCTGGAGAGATTTTTAGTTTCTGATTTTACTAAACATTTCATCATGACAGTAACTGAAGAAGAATATACTCTGCCAAGCTGTTGAAAAACAGAAACGTTAATAATGTACAGACACCAGCATCTCTAATTCAGATTTTGGCAGCTTGGATCTGTTCTATAAGAAAACCAGCAGCTCAGCATTGTTTCTGTCAGGTTGACAACGTCTCATTTAAGAAATATTCCCTTGTGGCTCATACTGTAGGAAATCCTCTTAATATGAAAAATTACTCATTTAATCTCTTTACACAATCATTGCCCCTAAAATCAGTATCCAAGGTTACCTATTTCACAGTCTTTGTTCATAAAAATGTTACCAAAGAGTAAAGAGATATATATTTTACAATGATGAGATTCAGGTCCTGCATTTCAAAAATAGCAGAGAAGATAATTACTTGATTTAAAAAAAAAAAAGGATTCAGAGAATCAGAGATTTTTATCCAATTTCAAAAGAAGAAAGAAGCACGTACTTATAACAGAAGCGGAAATATTAAGCCAGAAAATAATATAGTGCCGCTAATAGTGTTACTACACTGCACTGCAAGACCCTGAAACAACAATGAGTGAGAGCATCTGCTATTTCAGTGTAAAATCTGCTGTGCTGACATACAAATGTAGGAATAACTTGGAGGAATGGGAATAAAGTTTCCATAGGTGCCCAGTTTGAATCGACTGACTGGCTGAGGCTTGTGTAGTCTCCTCCCACACTCCAGAGACATGCATGTTAGGTTAATTGGTGATTGTAAATCAGGCTTAGGTGTGAACGGTCATCTGTCTGTCTGACAGACGGTCCATGATGTTCCCTATGACAGCCCAAACGGATGGATGGATGTCCATCTACTGTTTTTTTTGTTTGTTTTTTTGCAGGTGTGTACTGCCCATAAGTTTTACATGTACTTAACGTAATATTAAGGAAATGTGACGCTACAGGAGATCTGTTGATGTTGTCTCAAAATGAACCTGGGGGTAATATCGATAATGTCAAGGAGAATGAGTGAAGATACGTGCCTGCAGGTGTGGTTGTAGGACGTTGTATCAGCTTCATAAATGCTCTTCTACCAAAACCTTCCTGACAGACTGCATGGACTAAAGCAGCGCGCCACCTATGCAATGCACTGCTGCTCTGCCATAGAAGCCGATACCATGAAGCTCCTGGTGGACAGTGTTTGTGCTAATGTTAATGGCAGAGAAGGTTTGGAACATTGATATTTGTAAGAGTTGTTGAAACAGTGAATGGGCTGGTAAATGGACTGGTTCTTATATAGCGCTTTTCTACTCTCACTGAGCACTCAGTGCGTTATACAACTTGTGCATTCACCCAATCACACAAGCACTTTATGTAAGGTTTTTTAGTGCTTCTATCTAATATTCACTCGCATTCATGCTCTGATGGATGCATCGGAGCGTGGGGATAATAAAGATATTTGGCATGCAGACTAGAGCAGACTGGGATCAAACCACCAACCTTCCGGTGAGTAGGTCACCCACGCTACCACCTGAGCTACAGCCAACAGCGGCATCCCATTACAGCACAGCTTCAATTCAATGAGCTCTTTAGAACAATATTTGCAAAGGCAGACAGCATGGCTAGGTGCTTGATTTTACACACCTGCAGGAATGAGACTGAAAACACCTGAAATCAAAGATTAAGAGCTTTACTTGTAATTAAATATCTAAAAGCAGGTGGGGTGTCCTTGTTACCTTTCGTAAAGCCAGAAAGCTCAGCACTATCAGCAAACAGAGGTCATCATACTCTCCTTACTGTGACTAAACTTTTCCCAGGCCTTCTGATCCAGTGACACCTCACAAGGGCAATGGGTTAACTCCAAAAAATCCATTACACTTCAGGCCTTTATCACTACACTAATGTGCTTGAGTGCATCTTTGTAAATGCATTTTTTAAATTAATTGTCACTTGCAAAACCAATCATACCAAACCTGGAGTCTGGGAGCACTCATCCATGCAAAAGAGAATTGGAGGAACTGAGGTGAGTAAGAGCCTGGCAGATAACTTCCACCCCAGGGCCTCCCAGCAGGTTAATCTAGCCCTGTGGGTTGCTTAGCACCTGTCCAGACATCACTTCCATACAAATGATACTTAGCATCTGTCCTTACATCTGCATGTAGCTTAACTTTATTTTTTATCTAAGGGTTTACTTTTTTTAGAGTATTTACATGGATAAATGCAATAACAAATAATGTTTTCGAGTGAATGTGTTTAATTTACACATTCAGAGCAATTTTTGTCTCCATGATAATATTGTGGCTTCAAATAAATGCGCTCGTGCTGCGGTGGATGCTGAGGTGGATGCTGAGGTGGATGGAGTGATGCAGCTGAGGGTTATTTGGCTCATCGGGGGGCAGTGCGTAATTTTTGTGCTCATTTTGGCAGAAAATTGTGTTTTTGTTGCATCTTTGGATCCCATCAAAAATTCAAGAATGGTGTTTGTTTTTTTGGCTTCAGCTGGCATAGGTGCACACATCAGCCTAATTAAAAAAAGAAATTATTAAAATGTCTTGGTTATACTGGTTGGTTGAATATGGCCCCCTACTAGCATAATTTAAGGATGTAGCTGCACATTATCAAACATGGATCAGAGCTTTGGGGGTCCATTTATTAGTAAGGTAGAACAATGTTCCCACAGGCAGCTTTTGTGGATTTTGAAGCTGATACAATGTTCCACACGCTTCCTTTCTCTTTACCCTTTAAAACCTGCTCTACACACATATCCTTTATTCTGTAAATTAGAAATGCCGCATTGCGTTTGAATGACTCTGCCAACCACTGAAGTTGCAGTCAAATTCAATTTTAACCATGTCAAAGTTTGTGCCAAATGCTAAGAAATTCCCTGAAGACATTCCTGAGATATTGTATCCACAAGCCTGGGATGGGCAAACAGACGACCTGAAAGCCTATTGCGTCTAATCGCAGCCACCGCCAGCCATGAAAAGGTTACGAAACTACAAAGTAAACAAAGTTAAAGAGTCATGCTTCCTGTTTGTGAAGCCTCTGTGCTCTGAAGTTACTGTCACAGTTTTGTGAACTTGATATATATTCCTATTTTTGAATAATGACTCTGAAACCACGATTGTTAAACTTACTCCTTGCACAGTCACGTCTACCTAAGCTTGACTTTGGCACTGAGACTGGCTCCGTTTTGCTTACCCTACGCTGACTATGCACCTTTAAAAGACACAGAATTATTCATGAGTGTCTTCTGGGTTTATTTTTTTAATAAATATAAAACAATGTGGTGTTACGTGAAGGAAAGTACTTATTATAGGAATGACAGTCTATTTTGTTCTGCTGGTAAATCAGAGCAACATTAAAGCTGACATTTACATCATCTATTTAGGTTTTATTTAATTTTTCCTTTCAAGTTGTGTAAAATGTTAATAAAAAACTAAATGATTTACGTATCTTTAACCTCGATATTTAACTGTCAGGTTTTTTTTAAACTACAGGATCATTTTTAATCTGATGACAGCAACATTTCACATTAAGACGGCACCATGTTCACTCTGTCAGCTGTTATTTTCTTTCGTTCTTGTTAATTGCACATTGTGTCTGCTATATAACTTCCTGTGACACTCCTCAGCAATCAGTGGCCTCAGAGAGAAGACCAAGCACCTTTACCACAAAGACCTTTTATTACACGACTTTCAGAAGTTCTCGAGTGTTGAATGTTCATCGTATTAAATGCTTGACTGGTTAATAAAAAACTTAAGTAAATGTGCCTGAAGGTCAGTTATTATAAAATACTTAAAAGACTGTGGATAATTTGCAGAACACTTAAGTGTAAACTTAATTGAAACTGGTTCAAAGAAACTACGAATTATGAAAACGACATCATCTCAGCGCAGGCAACCAGCGAAAACCAAATGTAGGAAAATACCGTAAATTTTGTATAGTGACCTTTAAAACCATGTTTTCCTTTCTGTACTTACTTTTAGAGTACATATGACTAAAATGAACTCAGGCAGTAAAAATTACACAAGGTTTCGTGCATTTTAATTTTTTTCAATGAAAGGCCTCATTTATTCATTATTATTTATTTATTTATTTATTATGCTGAAGCATAACGTTTCAGCTGTTTCAAACAGTAGCTTACACATGTATGGCATAAACATTTTGGTAACATGTTCGCTGATTATTCATGCCAAGCTGAAAATAAACTCTGTTCATGTATGTTAGTTAATCTAGTTCACACCCAGTACAGGGCTCAACCCCACTTACATATAATTATAACTGCTCATTTAAATTTAGGCAGCACTCAGAGTCATTATGAAAGCGCTTCACTGACAGTCACCCAGAGGCATTTAGAGAAGATAATTGTGGGCCATCCCGATCCATGACATGAAAAGTGTAATAATTGAGCTGACTAGTTGACGTGTAAGTGATAAAACATCCACGACTCAGTCACTTTCAGAAAAGTAACTGAAGGATGCAAGAATGCATCTAAAAGCTGCAGGACGGCAGCTCTCGAGGACTGGGATCGGGCACCCCTGATCTAGAAGATGCTCAGTAAGTTATTGTTACTCAGATTACATCCAAAACATGAACACGGCAGTTCGATTACACTTTATTTACACTACCAGAGGCAAATAAGATGAATTCCCTTTCGAATATTCTTTGGCGTGTCAGCAAGCTTAAAGAAATCTACTCTTCTGTGTGTGTAACAGTGCTTATTTTTATTTGGCCGGAGAAAAATCTATAATGATCTGCTTTTAAATGCTACTACAGTGCGACAGCAGTAATTAAAGGCTTTTCTAAATGCTAAATCTTTAGAGCCGCTGTGGCCATACAAGCCTCTTGATTCAGGGAGCACCGTAAAATCTCTACAATCCCTGTCACTCACATCGTTACTGCCGAGACACGTCTAACAGTACTGTAATTAAAAATGCAGGAGCACTGGTGATACTGTTAATTGATTGGTTTCTATGGATTTGTGGCGAGTCGTTTGAAATGTGTCAGTACCCAAGACACCTGCTGATTTGGCTTGGAAAGAGTGGAATCATTATTAAAAGCTGCCAAACTGGATAAGCTCATGAGTAAAGTCGCTTGCTTGATGCTTTCACTACTCGCTGTGCAATTGTGGTTTTACACGTGTTTATTTAGGCAGCAGATGGAACAGATGCCTGTGACCTTGGAATAGATATAAAGAGCTTGTGTGTACCAGTGTAAATAAACGATGTTCATTGTAGACCCCCTCTAGCTGTCGGCAACTGCACAGTTGTAAATAGTCTCTCATTAACTTGCCAAATAATGCTTGGACTGACCGGCTGAAAGTTTCCACAAACAAAAGAAAAGTGCAAAAGTTAGGAAAACAAAATGTTTTTGTTTTTTAGTTAAAGTGGCCAAAATATTATGGAGCAGGTCCAATGCTAAGCAAGTCCAAGCGACCAGGAAAAATGCATTTGCTCTGGGCACCAAAATTGCATTCCCTTCATGGATCGGCAAAAGTCTGAGCAAAATGACCTGGTGCAGGTGTGTTTGCTGCTCAGTGCATTTCTCACAGGAAGAAGCGGATGCGAAGCGCTCATAACATGTTGTGTAACACAGAAAGTACCTGAAATGAGTTGAAAAACAGCTCACAGTACATTCGGATTTCCCAGCTTGGTCCCTGATATGTATGAGGCATCCCAACGAAGATGATGTAGTGGATGCCGAACACCAGCACGAGCACAAGAGTGGACTTTGCCAGTTTCCTGCGAGGACACACACAAGACAGAGGTTCTAGTTTTCATATCGAAGTGACTGAAAGCAGCCATCGTTACAGTAGTAAGTAGTAACTAGCGGCAAATTAGTTTGATGTTTGCCAGGTTAATACTTTCTCTGGATGCAGAATTGGCAGTGATTTTTTTTTAATTGCCAAGCATCTATTCTTCACACAAGCTAAGCTAATTCTCCTGGCTCGAATACAAAAGTACAGGACAGGTTTTCAAACTTGTTGCTCGGGGAATGTTAATTAAGCAAGGTAACTAGACTGCAGAACTAAAGTATACTTTTTCAGTTTATCATTTAGGCTCAGTCTTGGGAGAACGTGCAAAATAAATGATTTTAAGCAAACTCTGGGACTCCGTTTCCCAGAGCATATAACAAGCTTCAGTCTCCACTTCTGGCTTCAGTGAGAATCCCGTTAGTTACCGTTCGTCTAAATCAAAAAGTGACAGATGTTTGAATGCATCAGATAAAATTACTTCTGTTCTGTTGGGACTATTTCCTGGTGGGCATGTATTTGACCTGTTGTTTTTGAGCTCACTGACTAGAAATCAAACTGACAGCTTTATGAATGCTTTATAAAAGCGGGAAGTACCTCATAGTCTTAGCAATATGAACAAATACACGTTCCAGTCACTGCAGACGGCTAACTGCAGTCCATCGTCAGCTCATCAACAACGGCACTGAAGTATGCACAGTTTCACTCTCAAGCATTTAATAAAGTAGATGAACATCAAAACAAATACTGTGTTAAAGTTGACTTGTGCCAGCAAGCTGAAACACATGTGCACACACAAATGCAGTGCCAGTGCACACGCTCATTAAACAGTACAGACCTCCAAGGAATATACTGTTCGGGGATCAGTTCCATGCTTTTAATTTATGAGACCATCTGACTTGTTTTGGATTGTACTGCCTTTGGCCTGAAAAACACACTGAAATGTCTAAACTGCCTTTAAGCTCAGATGAGAACTTCATGTAATGACTCATCCTGGAAAGTGAGGAGCAAGTTTGCAGCCTATTAAATTTCTGTTGTCCCTTGTACACCCCCGGGGGGAAATGGGCACAACAACTCCAGCAAAAGATTGCTACAGTCTGCAACAGAGGAGCAGTTTGAACGTCACAGTAAATTAGATCATGCGATGAATTTAAAACTTTCTGACAAGATGCATAAAAGGCTGGAAATACAGGAGAAATCCTTGCGCTTTGAGGATTTCTCCTAATGTGCTGTAGTGTGTTGGTGTGGCTCATGCCAGGATCGCAGTTATAACTTCGCTTTTCATCTGTGACAGAAATATTATGCAGTAGTCGAAGTTGTCACATGCACATCATTTTGAATTTCCTGTACGAAAAAACAACAAAACAAAAAACAAAAGCTAGCAAGCTAAGCGCAGCTAACATCCCTGCAGAACGAAAGTGGGTGTTCCCATATTATCCTGTAATTAATGGGGCTTAGAGGTGGTTTTTAAAATATGTTCCTGTTTCTTAATTCCAAGCATAAGGTTGTGTTTTCAGGATAACATTAGCTGTTAAAAGCCAGAGTTCAAAAGCACTCCGACGACTGTTTTCACATGACTTACACGGTGAACGTTTGCTTTGCACTTCGTGTGCATGCATCATAACAGCAGACAGTCGTTTCCTTTAATGTGACCAAAGAATAGAAATGGTTGGACCAAATGTAATTACTAAAGAGCTGAATGAATACTGATGCTCCGTCTCTGAAGAACGTTTTACTGTGAATGTTTTAAAATTACCCTTTAAAAATCAACTTGTCAGTGTTTCTTGAATTTCCAATTTCGCTACATAAATTGAAATCAAAACTTTAATTTGACTAAGGCACAAGGCTAAACATGCGTATGCATTTAAATCAAACGAAAAACAAATCTCACAATATTCTGCATGAAAACATCGATGCACCGGACATGTGAAAACAAAGAATGAACCTTCATTCATGGAGGTAAAAAGGCAGATTTGGCGTGATCAAAGACATCATCTGCAGCCAGTTTAATGTTTTTTTAGCAACAACTTTGTGACCTTAGAGAAAAAAAATGAAACAGATTTGTTTTTCATGTTTCATCTCATTAGTCCACCCACAGCATTCACAGGAAGACACTGCAAGCTTTTGCTCAAAATTCATCAGCACATATTTGGCATGGTTTGTTCCAGTCAAATAAACTGATTAATTCCACGTGCAGCCTCATAGCCATCCTTTGAAGTTCTGCAATTATGGTCACCAAACGTATTTATTCAACCTTATAATCTACAGTTAGACTGCACTAACACAGATACAGACAGATGGAACTGTTTCACTCGCCTTGTCAGTTCCTCAGATCTCGTCTGTATGAATAACTGAAGGGACTGTGCATTACCATGGGGGCACATACGACCCTGGCTGTGATATGTGTTCACTGACTGATGTAAAGTGCCTTTCAGAGCCATCAGTTACATCAGAGTTGTACCAACCTAAACAACTGATGATCAGATCATGTTTCTGGTCTGCTGAGCCAGTCTTTAGTGATACTGCCACAGCAGAGTGTGGAAATAAAGAAAAAAAAACTTGATTTTCCACAGATTATGTTGCTGTGACGAGAGCGCTGAGCCTGAACGCAAAGGTGTTAATTTACTGGTCGATATAGACTCTGTTCCTGTTCTCAACTGCGGTCATGAGAATCACATCGCAGATACAAGCACTGGAAAAGGGCTTCCTCTGAAGGGTGCCTCGACTAAACTTTGGAGTGAGCGTTGCTGCTCCTCCACACTGAAATGAGCCATTTGAGGCGGTCTGGGCATCTGACTTGAATTCCTCCTGGACCCCTCCTACATGACGTGTTTCAGGCACTTTCTACTGAGAGGAGGCGTCGTGATGGATCCAGGACCTGCTGGAGAGATTATATCTCTCAGTTGGATTGGGAATACCTCGCTGTCCTGGACAAGCAGAGGGAGGCATGGAAAAATTAGCTCACTTAATTTAAAGCAGAGGAAACCAGTGCACAGCTTGGTTCTAATTATTTATAATGTTACTGTTGATCTCAGTATGTGAATCTCTCATCAGATCCCTTTTGCATTGCCATTTTCGTAACTGCTGGGACAGATGAGCAGAAAGATGACTAAGACAAAGTTTAATGGACGTGTTTGTGTCAAAATCTAAGAATCAAATCAGTTTTTTACTTGATTCTTCGATTTTAGCCGTGTGGGTTCTCATCTCCTCTTTTTTTGGAGCTGGAAAAATAAGGTGTAAACAATTTTTCCTGCTGAAAGATGAACTCCTTGTGGTCCATTAGCTTTTTTTTATCTCAGTGATTTTGTCTGAGTGTGTAAATGGTCTGATTCCGAGAAATAAGCTAATTGAAAGAAATCTACCAAAAGGATTAAAAAGGGAAAATTAATGGGAAAAAGGAAGAAACGGGGAAACTAAGAGAAAATAGCGAGAATGAAAAAAGAAAGGTTAAGTGAGGAAAAAGGAAACAAAGATAGAGGTGAGGAGGACGAGAGAAAATGGAAACCGGAAGATGGAAGGGTAATTTGATTGCTTTATAGCACAGAAAGTAAGGAAAACATTTCTTCAGTTGAGAGTAATTGACTTTTTGATTAGTTTGTTTTTTGTCAAAACTCAAGAAGTGGTATATTTTAGATTTTGTTTTGCTTGTGTTTTCTTTCACAACATTAGAAGTGATTTTAATTTTTTTCTGCAGGTTTTTTTGTTTTGTTTTTTTACCTTTTTGGTGACTGGGATACAATGATAAGGAAAACATAAAATACAAAAGGAAAACTACAAACATAAACTGACTGGAACCTAAAGTGGCAATAATACTGAGGCCGGAAAACATTGAGAAACACAAAGGGAACTTCAATAACTTCAGGTTCCAACAAGGGACAAAGGGAGAATGAGACAATATGGGAAAGTGATTAGGACAAGTGGAGACAGCTGGAGACACAGCAGAGACAAATCAGGAGTAACGAGACAGGGGAAGCAAAACAAAATCAAAATAAACACTGAGACAAAGACACAAACTTCACTAAGACAAAAGGTAAACAAACAGAGACGTGGCTGACTTCACAAGAAGACAAAACCCGTGGAAGAGACAAAGGGAACAGGATAGGCAATAACTAAATGGAAAGATAACAAACAAACACATGAATAGACTAAACACAAGGAAATGACAGAGGAGGAAGGAGACACGGTGAAATTTTAAACTCAACACACAGAAAGGGAAACAACAACACAAAGACAAAACTGACTTCACAAAGGTGGGACGCTACACAGAGACAGAGTGGACATGAAAGGGAATCAAATTACTGAGAACTGAGAAATATGAATAAACTAGCAAACAGCAGAAATACTAAACTAGGAGACTAAACATTAAAAAGTAGACTATAACTATAATAATGACTCAGATCTAGATAAACTAGATAAGAAACTCTGAATGGAGGAAAAACACTTGACCACAGGATGTAAGTGAGTTGTTTTAATGTTGATTTGTGTTCTCATGTTTGTATTTTTCAGTTTAAAAGTTTTAAAAACTCAAATAAAACAAATGTGTATGACGTGTATTCAGCTTCCAGTTTACTGGATCATTATCACCTTTTCTGACAAATCGTCTGTTCATCTACACAGAACGACCTCGCCAGCGGCATTCAGAGCTACGCTCCTGTCAGATAATACACTGTAATTATACGGTTTTTATCTGACACATTGACGCCAGCACCAGCAGGGGGGGAAATGGTGATAATTGCAAATGTGTG